TACTCCCTCCGTCCCATATATATAGGCTGGGTTTCCTTTTTTTCTTGTCCCAAATATATAGGCTTGTTTCTTAATTGGGAATGTTATGTTTTGTTCTTTTACTAATTTACCATTATTTAATTTGCCTAATTACTAATTCCAACAATAATTTACTTCTAGTTGTTGGAAATTAAATAGGGATAAACTTGGAAAGTTCTTGATAAAAATTGTTTTTCCAATAACATTAAATAAGATTTCTTAATCCGTATGAAAAATGAAACAAGCCTATATATATGGGACGGAGGGAGTAATATATATTGGTGATTTAGATTGGAAAAGTATCCTATGAGCTTCACCATAAAATCTAGCAACCCGACGGTTTACTAAATTTCTATTTATAGGTATACAATATGTCGATCTGGACACTAGTCGAGGCTAATGTATTCTACTCCATCAAATCTAACAACAAACTTTTTGACTTTTGTAAATTGCAACATGGAGTGTTCTGACGAGTAGCATGTAACATGCCATGCTATCTGGAAATTTTAACTTTCAACTATAACATGCAATTTCCGAGTCCTCATATTGTGCACTCCAATCCCAAAAATTATTTCACATACTTATTGTACTTCAATAAGTCTTATTTTGTACTAATTAATGTAATTTAATACTATTTATCGAATATGTTGGGCTAGATTTAACTTAATTGAATTTTGAAATGAGAAATATTAACATTCGAAAGAAAGTTCACATGTTTGAAAGGACGGAGTGGCCCATCTTCAGACGGTTGACCACCTTTAGTCTGTAAGATGAGATCGACTGGGGGGATGTTGCTAATTCCATTGCTGAGAAGTCGAGTGAGCTAGATGGATGAAGTCGATTTCCATGACGATACAACCCACATTGACATAAGACTTAAAAAGCCGTAACTCATGTTAAAGAAAGACCTAATGATCTTATTTCTATGGTTGTACTATTCAAGTCGTGTTTTGCAAATCTTGTAGTAAGGATAGCTCGAACTGTTTATTGGAGTTAAAAAAAAGTTGCGCAATTCAAACATCATTAAAATTCAAAACATTCTTAAAATATCTATTGTCAGATATTACTTTCATGCAAGATGCAAAATCTGATCACAAGTTGATCTCTTTTTTCTTTTTCTTTTCTTTTAAAATATCTACTTTGAGTTCTACTAAATATAATATAATATAATATAATATAATAATAATTTAAGTGAAAGATATGCAGTTATGGGGGTGGGAATTTGGAATGATCTTTTTTTTTTTCTTTTTTCTTTTTAAAAATATATATAAAGAAGACAGCACTATCAATTCATATATCTCAAAAGTAATGGATTGTGACCTTAGGATGTCATATCCTAAGATCATTACTTTGCCAACATATAACTAAATTATTATCTCTTGAAGAGATGGAAAGCACTAATATTACATTATCAAGCTATAATGTATATATTCTTTTCTTGAATGGTGTATATTTTTATATATTGAAATAGTAATATTTTTGTTCCTTAGCTTAATTAAAAATATATTTCTTCTCAAAAATATAATTAATCAGCATTTGTCTAAATGTTAAGTTCATGACTTTTGCCCCTAGTACCGGGAGCAAGAGGATTTTTTTTTTTCTATCATGTTATATTTCAATACACTTTGTTTTCTTAAGTGTACAATCTCTGATATGAACTTCAAGAACAGTGATAGTTACTTAAAAGTAAAGTAAATTTACTAATTTACTTTTTCCATATAGTATTTGTCAAAATTAGTCACAAGCCTCCAGTTGATGTTATTTACTATTTGGTAGATGAGTTGATGGACTAACAAATGAACCATAACTTAAAAATCATCCTTATCCAAGAATGAACTGATAAAATTCTTTACTCATCACCGGTAAACTACTAGTTTAGTAATAAAAAGCTCGTAATTTGTACATATACATGGCAAATGTTCACACACACAAATTGTGTAAAAATATAAATTTGACAAACAATTTCTCATATTATTAATAATGCAACCAAATACCTACATAAAATGTATATAACAACAAACTCACAAAAACAGATTCATATAAAAAATCAAATAAAATTTATCATTCGTTGTTTATTTGATCAACATCTGCTATGTGGGGCAAGTTTTCCCATCATAGTACATGATGTAATTAGGGGGAAAAAAAAAAGGACGAAAAATATTTGGTAGAGTGCAAGGGGATAGAGGAAACAGAGCTCGACAACTAAACAAGTTCCCAATGAAGCTTCACATTTACATTCTAGATATGCTGCCGTAAACTCTCACCTGGTAATGTGTATTTCATAACTACATACAGAAAGCTACAAGGCAAAACAAAATTGGAATAAAGCAGCATCACGTTAACCTCAAACTAACACACCTTAAATAAGTCGCAACTCTATCATACATTATGCATATAATGATTTACATGTTAGCATCTACCTACCAGCCATATATAGGGTTCTCCACCTGTGGAGGCAGGAGATGAAGATCTTTGCTATGCTGCCTATCGTAGTCCCTTGTTCTAGGTATTGCCCCAGTACACAACCTAAGGAACTCATTACCAGTGAAACAGTAATGTGCAAATGCCAATCCTCCATCGACCATTTTTGTCAGGTCGGGCATTGAAACAGATTTTGTGATAGCCATTTTGCAGCTTCTACCTGAATCTCCAAGACCCGTGTTATTCAAAACCTTGTCAAGCTCTGAGTACTCCATAAATCTCTGGGTGGCCGCTTCCCATGAAAGGTTGTATCTTTGTTGGGGGGTAAGTGGCTGAGGTTCATTTGCCATTGCTTGCTTTACTTTTTCTACGAAGTCTTCCGGTGTTTTGTAAGTCAAACAATTGGGGAATGCCCTGAAGAACTCATTCGATGGGTGGTCGGCACAGACAACAAATTTTCCCATTGCAAGGGCCTCGGCAGTAGCAGTGCAGAGCACATCACTGACACTGGGATTTATGAAGATTTTGTAACTGCAGGCAAAGAAACACAGGTCAAAATGCAGGAAATAAAGAAGGACTGAATGTGCTTTCACCTCAGTGGCCCTGAGGGGACTCGAACTGATGATCATTGGGGAGCAAACCCAAGGCCTGACCAATTGAGCAACCCCTCAAGGTTATGGATTAGATACTATATGACACCATAAAGAAAGAAAAATAAACTAAAATCCTGTTTATTGTAATGTCCTAATATCGTCGAGTACTGTACATCAACATGCAAAAAAAGGTTTTGATTAAGGTTGTCCGTGGGTCGGTGACCCAAAATTTTCGGGTATTTAATAAATGGAACCGTCGAGTCCAAATATAACTACGGAACCGCTCGGGTTCAGTTCCATAGCATAATTAAATTTTTTAATATTTACGACAACACTACATAAATACAACTAATGACATTTCATTCGTAATTTTTACAAAGTAACATAGCCAATTATGAAACAATCTGATTTATTTAATTAATTTGCTAATTTGTTTAGAAAAAATAAAATGATTTAATTAATTATTAAAATTATGAAATAATCTAATTTATTTAATTAATTTGCTAATTTGTATAGAAAAAAATAAAATAATTTAATTAATTCAATATAAAAAATAAAAAAATTATTTAGTTTCAGTTTTTACTCGGTTCTTCAGTTCTTGATCTAGACCCGAGACCCAACCCAAACCCACTGGTTTTCAATTCGGGTACCCTTTCGGGTATTTAACTTATAAAGAACCGTCCGATTCGGTTCGCTTCGGTTCGGTTCGGTCCGAGACTTTTGGACACCCCTAGTTTTGATTACCCAATAAGTAGAGGAAAAAAAGAATTTATGCTTTACCCGTGAAGAGAATCATCTGCATGGTCTCTGCCTTTCATAAATTGCAGGTTCAGATTCAACCCTTTTGCAGTGCTCTGAACATCATGAGCGTCCTCTCCATTACCATACACATCCAAGTTGAAGCCATCAAGGTCATTTTTGCGCTTTGCTAACAAGTCTATTAATTCTCTATACCCTTTTGCCCAAACCATCTTGCCTAAGAAATACGCTCCTTTGGAAAAAGCAAGCTGCCCACGCTCCTTATCTGCTGCTACTTTCTCTCCAATCTTTAAGAACTTAGGATTTACACCATGAACATTACAAATCTCGGACTTGGGTAGGTTCTGTGTAGCAGCAGAAAGGCGGAGGATCTACACAGAACAGTGTGCAACGTAATTATTGACAAAATCAGAGATGTTGATCAGTTGTGATACAATCAAAATATAGTCAGAACATGAAGACTTAGAGAATAACTGATACCTTGTCACAGTGTGCTCTTGCAACCAAATTGTTTATATGTTTCACAAGAAAAGCTTGAAGAGCCCCATTCTTTTCCCTCTTGATGTATTCCAAGTAATTCGTGTGAACAATACCCACGACATGGTTGAATTTATCAGTCCAGCGTTTACCATGATGGTACCAGTTTAAATGTTCTGGTTCTTCTAGGATTGCAATGTCAGCATCCTTTGATGGAATAAACTTAGTAGTGTCTCCAGCTGGTATAATACTTCGCCTTCCTTTCGAGAACTAAAAACGGGGTAATAATGATGAAAAATGCATCAGATATCTGAACCTCTCTCCATATATAGGAAGTAAAATCCAGTCGTACTGATGAGATATTGTAATCTTGCCCCCCCTCTTACTGTTTGTTCAAATTACACTATCATAGCAATCATCACACATCTTAAAGAAAGTGATTAAGTCTCGTAAGATCAGTTTGAATCATGTTTAACTTCATTGTGTACAGTAAAATTATACAGATGCAATTTGAAATCCCTCTAAACTAAAAATTAAGATTGAAAAATCCAAAACGTTAGTTTTCCAAAAAAATTGTACTAGAGCATTACCAAGTGGAATATGCCCGTATGAATCTCACCAGGTACAGTTAAATTCTTGGACAGAAAAATAACAACATTATATAGCAATTTATTTGTTAAGAAGCTACCTTTCCCGGGTAAAATGATATCTTGAAGTCAGACTTAAAACCAACTCTTTCCTCAAGCCAACTACGTATATAAGATTCCTGTTCTTCTGGTGAGCTAAAAGTTAGATTATTGGGATAAACAAGCTCTTGATCTGATCTACAAAGCCATGGAACCAAAAGCGTGACATTCTGCTTAGCAGAATTTGCTAAATATGCTGCTCGGAAAAGTGGATTTACAGCTGTTCCTGTCATCCAAGGAAGACTGGCAGTGGTAACGATAGCCACGTGCCTCTTTTTTTCTGACACGTCATGTTTAGCGACGTCGCTCCAAAAACCGCCTTCATAACAGTGCCCAGTACTTTGGAGAACACTGGCTATCCTTAAATCTAACTGATCACTGATGTTCTCACTTTCAACAATAGAAGACTCTCCTGCAGGTAAGGAACGCAGAAGTTGATTCTTGCGTTTACTGCACAAGCTTTCCACAATCTTGTCTGATATGCCTGCCACCAAAATATAAAAATTATGAGCTCAGCAGGATATCTTAATAGTACATTACTACATTGACAATTATATCCTACAAACAGTCTAGAAAGCCAGGAAACAAGAAATTTCAAGTACTTCCTTCTGGGTTATTATTGCATAAAGCAATCTTATTCCAAAATGACTTGCTAAAATCTCATTAAGAACCTCTCAGTCCCCAAAAAGTATCATATTAGAAAAATCACCAGACTAGGTAAATATCGTTGGGCTATGCTTCTTAGGCTGAAATCACCATGGTTCCAGCCTTTAATTCGTTTTGGGACAAAAATAGAGAAACCTATTGCGTTCCCCCTTTTGAGATGAGGAATCATTTCTAGGAGAAGGTTAATGCTTCTTAGGCTGAAATCACCATGGTTCCAGCCTTTAATTCGTTTTGGGACAAAAATAGAGAAACCTATTGCGTTCCCCCTTTTGAGATGAGGAATCATTTCTAGGAGAAGGTTAAAAACATAATGACACAATAAACATGTACCACCCCTTCACAATTCTCAATCACCGAACCTACCC